TGGGCCTGATGTTGTCGATGCTTCAGGTAACCCAGTCCGCCTGCGCGGGGTAAGAAGATGATTGCAAGCTCTAATGCCATTCCGGCCACTCACTGATCTCCTCTCCAGACGGCACTCGGTGGCTGGATGCTCATGGAGAACTTCATGAACGGTTTCCCCGGTCGCGAACACCAGATCCGCGCAGCGCTCCTGAAGGTCCTTGGGAAGGCGAAGTACGAATTCTTCTTCGACAAGTTCCTCGAGTACTTCTTCACGGAGAAGGATGCCGAGTTTCTGTCCTCGATCGGCTTCAATTGCGTCCGTCTATCTTTCAACTACCACCACTTTGAAGATGACATGAACCCTTTCGTCATCAAGGAAGAGGGCTTCAAGCATCTCGATCGCGCAATTGAAATTGTGAGTCTTTAACCGGCCCCGAGATGTGTCCCGTAACAACTGGCTCTAACAGTTTCGTTGCACAGTGCTCCAAGTACGGAATCTACACCATCCTCGACCTCCACTCCGCCCCGGGAGGCCAGAACCAGGACTGGCATTCAGACAACCCGACAGGATACGCCGCCTTCTGGGATCACAAGCATTTCCAGGACAGAGTCATCAACCTATGGCAAGTTCTCGCAAAGCGCTACAAGGGCAACCCGTGGATCGCAGGATTCAACCCTCTTAATGAGCCCGCCGATGTCGAGTGGACACGGCTCTTGGCCTTCTACGATCGCATCGTTCCAGCCATCCGAGAGATCGACCCAGATCATATTCTCTTCCTCGAGGGCAACACCTTCAGCATGGACTTCTCCGGCTTCACCAAGGTGTTCCCCAACTCCGTGTATGCGGTCCACGACTACTGCGGCTTCGGATTCCCGAACCGCATTGGCAGATACCAAGGACTGAAGGACCAAGACGCGTATATCCGGCAGATGTACGATCGCAAGGTTGTGTTTATGAAGGAACACAATGTTCCCATCTGGAACGGTAAGCACGCTCTCTGTGCACGCGAATCTTTCCATCTGCTGACAGAGGTATCTTTATACAGGCGAGTTTGGTCCGATCTACGAGCGAGAAGAGTACAACCCTGACTGGAAGGTTCACAATGAGGAGAGATACGATATGTTGGACAGACAAATGGCGATCTACACCTCCGAAGGCATCGGTAAGCCGGAACGGAAGTCGGACTCTGAGAACCATTAGCTGACCCCAATTTCAGCCTGGAGCATCTGGGCTTACAAGGACGTCAACGTTATGGGAATGACTTACCTCTCTCCCGACTCGGCCTGGCTAAAGCTTCTCGGTCCCATGATCCGCAAAAAGCGCGATCTCGCCGTCGACAGCTGGGCCTACGACGACGCGCATCTCCAACCCAACCTCTTTGGCCCACTTCACAAGTGGTTCGAGGACAACGTCCCTGCGCAGTACAACAAGAAGTACCCGTGGCAGTGGCGCATGCACATGCACGTCTTCCGCGGAATCCGCGGCATCACCATGGCCGAGTACATGATTCCCGAGTGGGCCGACTACTTCAAGGACAAGACCTTTGAGGAGCTTGACAAGTTGGCGGCCAGTTGGAAGTACGAGAACTGCTGTCAGCGCGAGCGATTGAACGAGTTGCTCCAGTTGTATGCGCCCATGACGCCAGAGGATAAGAGGTTGGAGGGCAAGGTCATCCAGCCTGAGGCCGAGAAGAACGGCGACAAGCCCAAAGAGACGGTGTCCGGTGTCGGCGTATTCGAGCTATCGCCGGAAGAAAAGGCGAAGAAGCTTGCGCAGACGAACGGCACGCCCATTGCTGCTGCCTCATGATTAAATCTCTGTTTCGAGACTACGGAAATGAAATGCATAAATCGGCGTTCTTTGGATTTTGATAGACGAAATTACAATGGATCTCTTCGCGATGAACACCCACAACCTAGTGAATCATTTGGTTGCCAGCCGTGTCATTTTCATTCATGGGTATCTGAACCTACCATATCTGAATCACCATGGAACACTCTATCCCACCTACCGCGCTCGTTTCCACCTACATCGTCATATGCTTTTTGCAGGATGCCTCAAGTCGCTCCAACACCCCTAGGTGCCACTGAAACTCTTTAACACTGATACTAAATCTCCTCAAGTTTCGCTTGCCGATGAATATCGCCTGCTCTATGTCTGATGGTAGGGCGTTGCGAAAGACGGGACACACCGTTGCCACTCTGAGGATCATTACCATGGTAAACGTGCTGATTGAAGTTAGATTGAAGATCAGAATCGAGGCAAATGGAAGAGCTTACACAAGACCACTGGAGAATAGGCCGGTAATACTAATGGCCGGATCGACGTCAAAAACGTTGATGAAGCCTCGTATTCCTTCCAAGCATAGCCTGCAACGGTGAAGAATCGCCTCTTTGCAGGGATGGGTATCAAAATGAGCCATGTTGAGAAGCACATATTCGATGAAAGGCCGGTGAATAATGTACTGCCCGGCGTAGTAACGTCCTTTGAGTCGAAGAACGTTCCATGGGTTGTTCCCGAGCTCTTCAACTCTGATGATGCCTGGTGTCATCGGTGAGCTTGCATTTTCTTGGTCGGTGCGTTTTCGCGGTTGGCTTGTCAAAAGAAAATCCGGTAAGTTGCGGTAAAGCGCTCCATGATAAGACCATAGGTCTTCTGTCACGCGAAGCAGCCAATTGGCGTAGCTATCTCTTGTCATCCGGACCTGATCTTTGCTGTCGTAAATCACGCTGTTGACGCGGTTCAGAAAGCGCCGGATGGCCGCATTTGTGCTAATCTGGAATGCGACCAGTTCTTCCGTCCGATAGAATGTGGATATTGCCGGGCTCGTAGGATTCGCCTCTGGCGTGGAGAATGCTGCTGCATGCTCTTGTCGATGCTTGGGCGTCTCGGGGGCAGGATAAGGCACCACGTCCTCGTATCTGGCAATGCCTGACGGGAGGGTAATGGAGACCTCTGAGATGAAGTCGCCTTCATAGATCAGCGAGACCCAATACAGCCGACGGAAAGCGTCTGAAAATCGTTCTACGTCGTTTGTACTTGCAATGGCCCTTCTGGCCAGTGCCTCACACTTTACCGCCGTCGCATGGACCCAATGAAACGAGTCCGCCATTCGGCCTTTGGCGCCCTTGTATAGGCTTGCCAGCATACTGCACTGTGCGGCTTCAAGATTGATCTCCGAGGAGATAAAACCAAGTAGCAAACGAGCCTTCTGCCAGAGCTTCTCGTCAAGCCCTGTGACCTCTTTGAAATATCCAGATCCTAAAGATGGAGGCTCCTGACCACCATTTCTGCCCGCGGCCTCGTTCAAAGAGATTCGATATTTCCCTGTACACACGAAGGACCCCATGCATAGAACAAGGAGAAGGAGACAGTACCTCGCCGGTGAAATGGTGTCGGACTCGAGGGCCGGGGACTTTTCGCATGATACCACCTCGTTGAACGTTGCGAGTATATCATCTAGAGACAACAATGGGAAAAAGATATTGACTTCTGCAAAGTACTCGTGGATAACCTCGCGGTATCTGTCGGCGGCGTCGATGGACACCGGCAGGCTTCGATCCCGGAACAACCTCCAAGATTCCGGGGGAGGGGCTGACCTCGTCTCATCCGAAGATTCCTGGAAGAACATGTCTGTTGCTTCTGTGGATCGTATACCGGCTGGCATTACTGGCCGTGGGGGCATTGGCTCTGAGTCATTCAGCAGTTGCTGAACGACTGGCCATTCAAGAACATGATTGGCGCTGGCCGTATGAGATAGTGGAATTTGAATCTGGGCGTCACCTTCGTGTCCTAGTGAAGCGCTCGCATCCGCGTGCTCGTCTGATGTCCCGGTATCTTGCGTCCTCGGCCCCGGTCCCGGAGTTGTCGGCTGTTGAGCCACTTGAGGCGACTGTGAATCCACTAGGTGTTGAGTTTGATGCGGGGATGGCTGAGCTGAGAAGATAGGCGATGCGAATAGGCGGTCCTCCAGCATCTGTATTCTCTCTAACAAGATGCGAGTGTTCTGCTCGATGCGTGGTTGATTCGAATCCCGGTAGACACACTCCACGTTCTGCGTCATGCACAAGCTGCACTTCGGCTTAGCCGCGTCGCATCGTGTCTTGCGGGCCCGGCAATTGGTGCATGCCTGCCACACCCGGCGCCGTGCCGGGAAGTAATGTGCCGCCGAGAAGGACGATGACGGGCCGGAGGTGTCCATTCTCGGAGTCCGGGAACAGCAGCACAGTCTCAGCTTGGTTGGAATCGATGCGGAGTAAGGAGAAGTGTCTTTTTCAGTGATTTTACTGGCTCGGCACCAGGTTTAAAGAGACCTGGTCAGGGGCGCCACGTGGAAACCTCCCCCGCCCGACCCCGCTGTCTAGCGTTCTCGGCTCCATGAACAGTCCCGAATACGCCGATTTTCTGTCTTCAAGGGAATCACTGGAGAATTGATCGATGCGTTTCGTGGCTGTTTGTCCACGTGTATATATTTTTTAGCAAGGACAGGAGAAAGTTTGCATTCTCTATTGATACCGATGCTCACATTGGATGATCACATATACATTCCCAACAAAAAGAGTCTCCCTTCCACCATAGAATCCCATGATCCAGCGTTTCCATTTAAACCCTGTCAACGTGAAGAGAGCAGAACAATGAGTGAAAGATGTTGTTCAAAGCCTAGAATGAGCTAGCGTCATTTGATTGATACCCTATCTTATGCTGCCAAGAGTGATTAGTCTGGCTGTACATCCTTCCGGTCTGATTCGACAGCCTGCAAGCTTCTCGTGATGGAGGAACAGCCCAAAGCGTACAGTTGGGAACTTTTCAAAATCGGAGGCTAGACCAATTCACATCGTTGTTACTCTGGTCTGGATTCTGGACCTCTTCTGATAATGTTCTGTATTGAATGTTGAACTAAGCTAAGTAAGTAGGCGTGATTGCTAAAGCCTCACCACCATGTGGTTCTTCTAATTAAAAGAGACATTTCTGAAATGATCATTTTCGATGCGGACTGCAGTTATAGACCCTGGTACCTTTCATGCGCCATAGTGTATGTACGGCACCCAGACATCGGCATTGTCAGGATGGCGCTTACGAACCTCAATTACAGCGTTCCTCAAAGCCCCTGCAACCAGCCTGTTCGGCGAGACAACCTCGGATTTGGATTTGCTCAAGAACTCATAAAAGAGTTGGGCAACTTCGATGGAAACCTCATCGCTGACTGGCCACATGGAGCCAATCACATGACCGAATCCAGCAGCTTGGAAGGCGCTTGTTGCGTGCAGACCCTCGTTCTTCAGGTTGGACGCGCTCACTTCAGCTGTTGAACATGCGGATAAGTAAGCGATCCAAGCCCGCGTTTGAACCTTTGCGGCCATGAGCGACTTGACCGTAAGCTTGTCCAAGTTTTGATCGGAAGTTTGCAGTAACAAGTGACTCTGCAATGGATCGAGAGGATTAGAGGTGCCGTGACACGCGAAGTGCACAATCTGCGCGTCTTGCATACCATCCAAAACTTGACGGGCGTTGGGCTTTTCAGGTTCCGTGATGTTGTATGTGCCATCTACGGCAGCCTTGATCGCTTGAAGCTCACGTGTTACGCCAGGAAGAGGCGTCACACCGGGCGTGCTGGGCATAGTGACCACCCAAAGGTTGTATGGATCGACGCGGTCCTGTTCCTGTCCCCTCAAAGCGCGATTTCGAGCGTTCTGCAGAGCCTTGATGGTCGACGTGTACGACGAAATAGTCACGTCGAGAGTGCTGCCAGGAGCTTCCGCGTTGGAACTTGTGGCCGCATGAAACGGAAAGCTGCTAGCAGATCCAGCACCAATCCACCAAATACGGGGCAGGTCCGTAGCACTCGGCTTTTGGTCGAGGTCTTTCATGATGTGCTTGAGAATGGGATGGACGCAAGCAGACCACAGCCACTCCAGTGTCATATCGTTCAATCTTGGAGCACGTTCTGGTTTGATGTCTCGCTGACCCCTCTGCTCTTCCGTTCCATGTCCAGCGCCCCTAATCCTCCAATTGGATGACATTTTGGGAAGCGCCACAGCCTTGAAGCAATGTTTAGTGATGATGATAGCGTCTGCTCCAAACCTGGACGTGTTAACGACAACTATTGGACCTTCACAAGCGGCATCTTGCAATTCCCCCAGAGAGGGCGGCAGCAAAAACCTTTCGAAGCCTTCAATCTGACGAATCTTCGATTCACAGACGTCCATCTCTTGATATATAGGTTCCAAGTCGGTGCTTGCACTAGAAGCCCTGGTGCGCAGGCATTCGTATTCCTGCGCCAAGGAGACGTCTCGCATTCTCAGGTCCGACAGATCGCTCTGCTCATCAATGAGATAACCAAGAACCAGGCCACGGCCGTACTCGATATGCTGCAAGGCCTTTTCAACCTTTCCTAACCGTAATAAGATTGAACAGGCGTCTGCAGATACCTCAGAAATGTTTCGAAGAGCGTGCACTTGATCATCTTGGCTAAGCTTTCGCGAGCAGGCTCGTGGTATGAGACTGACAGCAACATCTGCTATCCTCTCAGCCTCAGCCCAATCATTCAGTTCGGCTAGAATGCCCATTGCACGATGCGCGCAATTGATTCTTACGATCGGCTCGCCAGATTGAAGGTGGCATCCAGTTCTGAAGCTGTCGAGAGCCGAGTCGATGTCGTCAAGCCTCCCCGTTTCTGTTGCTCGGTCTTGGAGTGAGCTACCCAAGTTGGAGTGAGCTCTAGCCAGTTCTGGATGAGAATCCGCCAGAGTTGTCACAGCCAACCTCCCCTGCTCAACGGCCATGTCCAAATGAGCCACCTCTCCTGTTATTTCATACCGTTGGTGTCGAAGCTGTGCCATACTGTACAGGCAGGAAGCCCTCACGCTTTGGTTTGCTTGTGTGAAGGGCGTCTCGAGCGCCTCTTCGTACTTTGAGATCGCCTCTTCAAGATGTGTCAAAAGTCTCGTCCGCCGGAAGCTCCGCAGTCCGATTTCTTCCGCTAGCCCCTGGCATGTATTGAAGATAACTGCAGCAAGGCGCGCTCTGTTGATCGCCAGCCCGTTCGGGGGGCTCCGCAGCCCGCTTGATGATGTCGGGACTATGGCATTTGTTCTCAGCGAACAGGGTTTCGATATCTCCATGCTGTGTGGTGATGTTGCTACCCGAGCAGGCATCCACGGGGAGTGGGAACGCATCGTAAAAGTCTCGCGGCCAAACGACATTTTTTTCCTCTACTATCTGGGCCACGGCGGGATCGTCGAAGAGGATATCAATAAACCAGGCCGCAGGCGTCGACAAAGAAGCTAGCTCCGCCGAGCACCAATAATGGCATTATCAGTTCCTCGTACCAATGTACCTCCTGCTTCGAAACCATGCCGCTTGATGCGGCCTCTTCCTTCAACGTTATTCTGGATGTGGAGCTGGAATGCTTGTTGCGCCTCACGACCAATCGCACCAAAAACGTCACCACTATCTTTGACTGTTGTCACTCTGGCCGCATGGCTCGTGATCCATCCCATGCTGGAGCCGTGCCCCGCAACATTCCCCAAGTGCCTTTCGCCGCCGTCTCACTTGCTGAGTCTCACCTGCAGCAGGCATGGGAAGCTCCAAAACGCTTTGGACAACATCTTTGGCGTCATTAAAAAAAGATGACCCGATAGAACCATTGAGACGGACGGCGAAGGCAAGCTCATTGAGGGCCAACCCGTCTACATCTCGCCGAGGAACAACAACGTCAAGACATTATATGTGTCTGTCTTTGACGTCAAGGTGAGAGGCACTATCTCGCTGACCTCGAGTGTTGAGCTTCTCGCAGCTCGGGCCTACCACATTGGTGCTGGCCAGTTCCGGGATCTCCCGCAAGGCCAGGGCCTACCTCTGAGCTGGCCCACATGTATCTCAAAGGCGCAATCCGTCCCCGACAGTCTTCCATGTCTTTATCCTTACAGAATCACCTGTTGATCTCAGCGTACTATCAAGTGCTGCTAGAGCTGACGGTCGCAGCGATGTTGGTCCTTCATCTCTTGAGCAGCTGAGCTTCTGTCCCGCAACTGGTGCGCAATGTGACTTGGGTAGTGAGCGTGTAAGGGTGCCTCTCCGCTTCGACATCTTACAGGTGTCATTCGAAGTAGAAGCTCGAGAAGCAGCAAAAGTCTTTTAGACGGCTTTTGTCTTGAATGTGCCGGCGTTGGATCGCGATGCACCGGGCTTGGGACGCATCCGACATACGTTTCCGTCCTAAGTCTAAATGTCACAGAGCATCTTACAAGCATTAGTATTCGGTTCTCATTGAGCGGTTGAAGCCAAAATAAAATGGATTACTTCAAAATGCGCAATGCTGACTATCGGAGGACTTCCTCTTTGCTTGCTGAGACTCTGGCGCACGATGTGAAGCCGTTGAGATCCGTCGAGGGGTTACTTTGCTGTGCTATTTTCGACGCACAAGTGGTGGTCTATTAAACTACTCCGCACCTTGCCTTCGAAAAAGAAGTGACTGACTTAGGATGCCAATAATCAACCGACCGCACAGGTCAATACATGGCATTGCCCGCTATCGCAGCGGATCTCACCACAAGTCTATCATGTTTCTTTTCCAGTCGTTTCATAAACCATGACTAACGGGACTTACATGCTTCAGTATAGCACGACGAGGTCTATTTGAAGTCGCGTATCGAACAACAAACAATCTTCAAACTGCCAAGCTAGTTGTATCTTGAGGGTGCAATGTTATTTACCGTAAGTAAGCCAATGGCAAACGGCAGGGCATCGTAAGCATGAACAACTATTGAGCAGCTGTTTTGTTTCTCGAATGACGATCACGCTGTACATCATTCCATTTCGAAAATCGTAGGGCTGCGTGACGCGGGGGATGCCTGACTCGTTTGCTAAGGAGGTTTCACCTGATGTGCGCTGTGTCAACAGTGATGCCATCCAAACTTCTGGCGTCACAGACTGCACCGTCTCGAGGAATGTGGGAAACACCGGGATAGATTCCGGGCGGGAAGACAGCTACGATGTAAGGTTAAATCTTTTGGGTGCCTGGGCATCTTTGTCCATAAAAGGCGAGAAGACCACCCTCAAAAATACTCCATGTTTTGAACTAATCGCCAGTCTTCCATTCTTTAAGTCCCGAGCACAAATTATTCGACCTCCCTATCTTTTCTCTTACGGCGCCACTCCTTAGCCGACTTTTCCTTCTTACACTCTCCTTTATCCACACTGATCTGAGTCCTGACTTTCAACGAGTGTCCAAACATGAGGGTCCTCAACGCCACTCTTTTGGTCCTTTGCTCTACGCTTAGCGTCCTTGCGAGTAAGTCATGTTACCATACGCCTACATTGGTAGAACATAGTTGACAGGAATTGCCTTCAATTAGCACCTCAAGCCAAGAGCGTCAAAGGACAAGCTTGCACAAACGGACAATTCAGTGGAGTTTGCGGTGCCGACGGCCGGTGTGGACTAAATATCCCGCCGAACGAGCTGTCACGTCAATTCGTTGCTGGTCAATGCGGCCGATGAATCGTCACTCTCTTCATTCATAACTCTCCTTACCATTCAATAATCAACGAGAAGATTGTCTTGAAAAGTTAGCTTCGTCCGAGAAAAGTTCTTGCTTCCTCATTCAATGCACCATACTTCAACGAGGCACCTTGTGGCTGATGTCATGCCAACTTCTATTCTCCAGGCCGATCCTTAAACGTTTTGTCCTACAACTAGTTTAGTTCCTCCAGTGAGCCATGTAATCCAAGGTTTTCATCTAAGTTGATCGAGAAGCATGCCCCGTGAATCTGAAACGATCTCGCCGGAAAGTTCCCCAAACAGAATCACCGCGGAATATTTTAGCTGTTCTCACGGGGACCCTATATAAGAGGCCAAGCTTGATGTTACGAGCTTGGACTGATTTCTTGAATTCATTTCCCCTGTATTAATATGGCGACCTATATTTCACTTGCGTCTATTCGATATCAACGACGCTACATGTACTGACATAATGAGCGATGTGGTGGCTTGCTAACCTGTCTGTAGTCACCTGGTCACGTACGTGTCTAAGCTGTAAAGAAATAGATCTCCAGATCATCTACAACCATATTATTGATACCAATTCCTGGCCTGAGTCTCCGGTCCTTCGTTGCCGATTTAATGATACTGGTCGGTGTATTGTCGAAGACTCATAACTTGCAGGCGGGGATTCCTGATGTGATTCAAGCAAGATGTGCATTCCCACAAATTCCCGTAGACGTAACTCCGAGAAAAGAGAAGCGAATGGTTTGGATTATACTACAACTTAGGCTTTGTCTGCTATAATTATGTATGCGGACATGAGGTGGGTTTCTACGTCATGCCGATTACCGACCGGGTGATCCCAGCTATGGTGATTGAGAATCCGAGCTGTCAAGTGTCAGAGAAAGCAGTACGCCCGGGAAATCTTTCACAGAAAATGTGTAATCGCTGACTGTTGCGTTGTAGTCATTGGACTAGGTACTTTCACGCATTCTCTCCGCGTTTGGTTTCTCATCGATGTGAGTTAGGGGAAGGTGCCCTTGCCCGGCAGACACGGGGACTTTCGACGTCACTCATACCCACCCCAGTGGTATCCAGCCCCCACCAACTGCGTGTACCAACATTTCTGCCTACCTTATGAATGCGAGAACAGGACTCACGTAGCAGCGGTACGCGATAGATCAAAATTGGCCTCAGTCAGGGTAGAAACCAGCCCTGGGTGCAATCAAGACCGAACGGCTCTAACAGCCTAATCCTCATGAATTCATGAACATCTGACCAAGGCCCAGTTGAGCTCGCCTATACAAAGTTATGTTAAGATTTTAAGATCATGGGAGAATTGCAGTGAAATAGGAGGAAAGGCCTGAAGGCAGAATTTTGCTCAGGTGAGGTCCTCGCTTTCGTGTTACAGGGGACGGTCCTTGATCTCCCAAAAGGGGCGCTGCACTGACCATTCTGGAGTTGATCTGCAATCGCAACGACAGCGATCGCGGATTGACCAGTCATCTCTCCCAACATTTTGAGAGTCTTTGCGTACGAAGACTCTGGAAGAGATTCCATCGAGCATGGCTTCGTGAAATTTTGATGCCAATCATCAGCCGATGACGACCCTCTTGGTAAAGTCACCGCCGTTGACGAGCATCCAGAAGGCAAGCTCGACGATGGGGAAGCCCCAGAAATCTGACAGGTGTCGTCGTCAGCAATAAATTGCCCGATTGGGGACCAAAGAGTTTAACACTGTAAAATGTCTACCAAGAAGTCAGCAACACCATTTCTTACAAGGCCAATGTCCGACGACCCGGCCTAATTACTTTGCCCGTTGATGCAAACTCTTGGTGAACGACTCCGCAGGTGTTGGCCCGAAGGCCTAGATTACGGCACACAGCAAGCCGGCTCTCCCTGTCTAAGCCGTTTCAATCAAGATTACAGTGCAGGGCATGCAGCGCCTACGCCAACCCTATCCTGGCCCCGAAGCCATACACAACTACCGTTCATTCGCTGGGCGGAAAACCCGCCAAGTTGACAACGTGTTTCAGCTGCCCGAGCCCGCAGAACGGTGCGCCTACCCCCTGCAGAACCTACCAG